GGCTTTCTTTTTGCAGCGTCGCTCGTGGCCTCCTTTACCGCACGTTACTTTTTTCCTCCTCTTGTTTTATTTCCTAGTTCCTTTGACTCCGTGGCTGTGACCACGCCGCACTGCATCTGCGCGGCGCAGGCAGAGTTGTTGCCGTGGCGATGTGCACCAACGCCGCTGCGGACCTTCGGGAGGTGCTGCTGCAGGCCGCGGAGAGCCGCGTATTGGCGTTTGGTGGCCTCTACACGGACGTGCCGCTCACCGAGGACGCACTGCGCGGAGCGGAGCGGGACGTGCATCGGGCACGAATCTGGGAGCAGCAACGCGTGCAGAGTGCGCTGCGGCGCGCGGAGCTCAACGCGCAACGGCAGAGGCTGCTGGAGGCGGAACGACGCGGTGAGTCGTCGGCGGTGGAAGCGGTAGGGGCTATCGCGCGCGAACTGCGGGCGAAGGCGATGTCCGCGCTGCAGCTGCACGCGGAGACCGTCGCCGCGCAGGCGCCGCAAACCTACTTGCCATTCCTTCGTGAAGCAGACGGTGCCCCGAGGGCATTGGGTGTGTCGGCCACCTCCGCAACGGCGTCGGTGCCCCGTGCCGTGATTAACGTTGACATGGGCGGCGGCCGCGTGGACCGTCTGGTGCTGCGCGACGGGGACGACGTGGATGAGGCGGCGGCAGCGTTTGTGCGTCGCCACGGGCTGCCGCATCATGCCGTTGACCTCCTCGCAGCGCAGGCGCTGGAGGCGCTCGGAGAACGGGGGTGCTGAACTCAAAGCCAGCGTCCCGGGGGTATTGTATCGAAGTGCGTGCGTGCATGCGTGTGTGTGTGTGCTTGTGTTTTTGCTCTTGTTGTTGTTGTGTTTCTTCTGATGGGCCTCCTCTCCACACCATTTGCCGAGTGGCGTGTTTTGCGTCTGCCTGCAGGGAAGGATGTAAGTTGTATTTCTTTCCTGTTGTCTCTTTGTGGCTGCTGGGTGCTATCTGCCCCCGCTGTGCACCGCGGCGTGGCGGCGGAGAGGTCAAGCAAGCAAGAGCGAAGAAATATCGAGAACCGGCGGGCGGTGCGCAGCACGAGAAAGCCGTTACGCAAAAGGGAGAGGTGGGTGGGTGGGTGGGGGGGGGATGACGTCCATCCCCGCCTTCACAAAAAAATATAAGGTGGTGCTGCTCGGGGACAGCGGGGTGGGGAAGACATCACTCGTGCAGCGCCTCGTGAAGGACGAGTGGAACGAAAACCAAAACTCAACTGTCGGCGCCTCCTTCTTCCGCTACTCGTTCCCTGTGGACGACGTCACCGTTAACTTCGACATCTGGGACACCGCGGGGCAGGAACGCTACAAAAGTCTCGCTTCCATGTACTACCGCGGCGCCGCGGCGGCTCTCGTCGTCTACGAGCTGCCGCTGTACGAGACCTTTGAGCGGGCGAAGCACTGGGTGCGGGAGCTTGCGGCCAACTCGCCCGAGACGATTATTACCCTCGTAGGCAACAAAAGCGACCTGGCAGGGCGGCGCAACGTGAGCACGGAGGAGGCCGCGGCGTACTCGAGGGAGTTGGACTTGATTTTCACCGAGTCAAGCGCCAGGGACGGTGCTGGGGTGCGTGAAGTATTCGAGAAGATAGCCCGGCAACTGGTGGCTGCAAACAACCAGAATACCGTGCGAGAGGGCGGTGTGGTCGGGGGCCGCCAGCCAAACACGAATTTAAAGCGACCGAACTGCTGCAGCTAAGCGGACTGTTTTTTCCCCCTTTCTCTCTCTCTCTCTCTCTGTGTGTGTGTGTGTGTGTGTATGTGTTTTTTCCCCTTGTGGGCTGTTGTTGGTGTTGCGTGGTTTTTGGCAAGGAGGGAAAACGAAGGTGAGAAAACGACGCCGCGGAGAAGGGACTCGGCTAGTGTGCCTGTTTATATTGCCCACGCATCTCAGCTATGAGAATGAGTCGCGGGCCACAGGCATGTTTATTATTATTATTACTACTACTACTGCCTTTTTTTTTGCGATTTTTTTCTTCTTCGCGTCTGTGTGTGTGTGTGTGCCGGCCGCTTCTGTTAGTCGTCCCGCCGTGCTCTCCTCTCTCTCTCTCTCTCTCTCTCTGCATGCCCACTTATTCTGCGCTGCACGGTTTGTCTTCTCTATGGCCGGTAGCTTTAGTTGCGGCGAGGCGATGCCGGCGACAGACGTGGCGGCGCTGCTCCGCACGGGCGTGGGCCTCTACGAGGCCGGCGATTTGTCGCGCGCGAGAGAACTTGCGGAGGAGGCGCTTCATGCCGCGGAGCCGCGCAACGAGGAGTCCTTCGCTGAGGCGCTGCTCCTTCTGTCAAACATTTACTGCGCCGCGGAGGACTTCGCAGAGGCGGAGCGGTTAGTCACGACGTGCTGCTGCTTCGTGGAGGAGCACCTCGGCGCTGCACACCTCGGCGCAGCCACGGCGCGGCTGAACAGGGCAATTATTTTGCTGGAGCGCTACCGCCTGCAGGGCGGCGCCGCAGCGGAGGTGGGGCGCGCGTACGACCTCCTTCAGGCAGTAGAGCGGCGACTGGAGGACAACGTCGGAAGCGCGGCGAGACTGCTACTTGCGGAAGTGCTGCACAACAGCGGCGTCTGCTGCGAGCTTGTCGGTCGCTACACAGACGCCCTTACGGCGTACATGCGCTCCATGCAGATCCGCGTGCGCTACACGGACGCGGCAGGCGTAACTGACATGAAACTCGCCCTCACGATGGAGCACGTGGCGATGCTGTACCGTTTGATGGGCGGGGCGAAGCTGCAGGCAGCGCTGCGGTTGATGGAAGCCGTGGCGGCAACGCGGCGGCGCTACATTGGCCCGCGGCACCCACTCTACGCCTCGGCTATATTGGCGCAGGGGGTGATTGCGGCGGAGTTGGGCCACAAGCGTCGCGCCGCGGTGTTGCTGCGCAACGTGTTAGAGATACGAACGCGCTTGTACGGCGCGGGTGACCCACAGACGCGTTGCGTGGCGCAGCTGCTTGGAGAGACGGCGTAGTGCATCGTACGGCACTCGACAGCCCAAGGCTACACACGCACACACATCCATCCATCCATCCATGCAAGTACGCTGCCGAGCACCCGATGGGGTGTGTGTTGCAGCCCTGCTTGTCTCCCTCACTTGGCCCCAGCAAATCGCTTTAATGTGGACCACTCTCTCTCTCTCTCTCTCTTCCTTCTCCCCCCCACCCCCCTTTTTTTTTTTTGGATGCGTATGCTATGTATCTGTTCCTCTTCCAAGAATAAAATATATTATTGCCATCACCAACATATATCGTCGGCCCGGTTTGACTGCCTCCTCTCTTCGCTGTCGTTGCCCCGCCGTAGGTGTTGATAGACAAGTCTGCTCTGTTTCGGGACCTGCCTGTGTGTGTGTGTGGAGGAGGACGGTGATTCCCCCTTTTTGTTGCTCTCACTGCCATCGCAATGCGTGTCGGGCAAAAATGCCGCCTGGACGTCTCGACGTGGGATGCGTCCCCGGCGAAGCAAAGTGCCCCGTGCGCGACTGTTGTTGGCGTCGTAGTGGGCGAGCGGCGGCACCTGGACGACCCCGGCCGTGCACTTTACTACTTTTACACTCTTCGCGTAGAGCGCCCCTTCAGTGGGGTGGCAGCGGAGAGGAGCGGCGGCCTCATGCATGCGCGGCGTGAGCGCAAGGAGGAGCTCTCCGTAGGGACACACGCTCTCAACTCCGCCTGCGGCTTCAAGTACACCTTTGACGGCTGGTACGACGAGATATTTTTGTATAAAATTGACGAGGAGGCGTTGGTGCCGGTTCAGCGGGAGTGGCGCACGACGATGGAGCAGGATGACTCTCCGTGTGAGGTGCTCTACCTCTGCTACGCGACACGGCCGTGGTTTCAGAGCCCCTTCGCTGCCCTGCAGTACATTCAGATGCCAGAGCGTCACCTCTGCTACTCCGTTTCGGTGTGTCACCGCTGCATGTCGCCGTTTGTGTCGCAACGGCACCTGCAGGAGCATCTCCTCGGCGGCTACTGCCGCTGCCGCCGTCCGCCCGGTACGCTGCTTTACGACGATACCGACAGCGGCCGGCGTGTGTACTGCGTAGACGGCGCCAAGCAGCTTCACTACGGCCGCTGCCTGTCGCTTCTCGGCAAGGCGTTTATCGAGAGCAAGCAGCTGGAGAGCGACGTGGACATCTACGAATTCTTTGTTGTCACCCTGCCGCGGGCCTCGCTGCCGTACGTTCTTGGGGATATGGAGGAGGAGGCGTTTCGGCGCGAGGCGGCCCACTTTGACGAGGCCCACTGGGACGGCGACGTCGTGGTGGGGTACTTCAGCCGCATCAAACACTGCCCGGATCATTGCCTCTCCTGCATCATCACGCTGCCGATGTTTCAGCAACAGGGCATTGCTGTCTTCATGCTGGACGTCGCCTACCGCCTGACAGAGCTGCGCCAGCGCCTCTGTGGGTGCGAGGCGGCGTGCGGCAGGCGTGGCGGGGCCATCTCGCGCCCCTTCTCCCCACATGGGCAGGCGCTGCTGCTGGCGTTCTGGCGGCGACGCGTGACGGAGGCGCTGATGCAAACCGGCGACACGGGGGCCGCGCCGGAAAATGTGGCCGGAGACGATGCCGACGAGTCTGCCACCGTGCCGTTTACCCTCCTCCACGCGAGGGTCATGGCGGGGGGCTTCTACATCCACGAGGAGGACCTGCGGTTTTTCGTCTTCAACGATGAACGCTGCTTTTACGCCCGCACAACGCCCTCCATTGCGGTCCCCGCAGCCTGCTCACGTCGAAGGACGGCAGCAAATGAGAGCGCCAACAACCATCCCCACCGCCACGCCACCAGCGGCGGCGGCAGCAGCAGCAGTGACCGCAGCGGTGGTTCGCTAGGGTTCGTGCCGCCGCCGTCGGAGTTCATTGGCTCGGTGCTGCTGTTTAAACGCGACATATCACGGGAAGAGCGTCGGCCGGGTAGCTTCGACCAGCGATTTTGGTGCCGTGGTGCAAACGGCCGTCACCCGTACAACTCCGCCCTCTTTCACTACTGAGGCGACGAGGAGGCATTCTTTTAGCGCCGTCCTGTTTGTGAGCTGTGTTACTACCGACCCCGTTTATATATATGTCCCCACTGCCTGTGTGTGTACGTGGCGGACTCACTGCCTGTGTCTTTGCTCTATCTTCTTCTGCTTCTGGTGCTTCGTGTGTCTCCACAACGACGCGTGGTCGTCGATCATACCTGCGCCTCCGCCCAACTGCAGAGTGAGCCTAAGAGAAAGGAGGTAGGTTGCCCCCTCACGTCCACAGCAAAGACAAGTACCGAAAAGAAAAGAAAAGGGGGAAAACAACAAGAACAAAAACAAACGCCGAGCGCGAGTGTGTGTGTGTGAGTGAGGGAGTCGCCAAGGAGAGAGCGCAATGACTGAGGAAAACACGCTTAGCCTCTTTCTCGAGGCCTGCCGCAAGGAGAGGGTGAAACAACCAAACACCGTGCTGATTGATTTTTTCCGCAGCAACCCCACGCCAAGCGAGATCGAGGAAATTGACCTCAGCAACAACTACATTGGCAACCGCGGCATCCTCGCCGTGCTTAGCCTCATTGAGCGTCTGCCGTCGTTTCGTTTCCTGAACTGCTCGAACCAGAAGCTGTACAACACGGACCTCAGCGAGGACAGCGTTAGGGGGAACGACACGGTGGACCGCATTGTGGAGGTGTTCAAGGTGCACCCCACCGCCAACGCACTCGACATCAGCAACAACTCCATCTCCAACTACGCGGGCCGTAAGCTGCTCGTTCTCACGCAGGTTAACCGCCGCATCTGCCGCGTGGAGCTCAGCGAGACCCGTGTGGACTTTGATCTGCGCAAGCGTATCACGCAGCAGTGCGAGAAGAACACCATCACGCTGTGGGAGGCGCAGGCGACGGACGGGCCGGAGGAAGAATGCGCCTTTGGAGAGGGCCCTGTGTGGGTGCCGAAGCAAGTCCCGGCTGACCTGACAACGATTGGGGGCGGCAAGAACCGCCGCCGCACCGTGCGCAGCGAGGGTATTGACCCAGAGAAGGCCAAACTCTTCAAGCCCCCGTACTTTGAGAAGAGCGAGGAGGAGATGAATCTCATCGTTCGGCTCCTCACCCACAACGTCCTCTTCTCGTTTCTCAACACGAAGGACCTCAAGACGGTGGCGGGCGCCATGCAGCGGGCCACCTTCAAGTACGGTGATTGCATCATGGAGGTGGGGCAGACGACGTGCAACAAGCTTTACATCATTCAGTCCGGCCACGCCGATATCATAAAGGAGGGGCAAAAGGTCTACCTGAAGACGGAGGGCACGGCGGTGGGGGAGCTTGAACTCATGTACGACACCCCGGCGGTCGCCACCGTGAAGGTGTGCACCGACGAGCTTATTGCGTGGGTCCTTGACCGTGAAACGTACCGCAACTTGGTGATGGGCACCGCCATTCGTCGCCGTGAGACATACATCCAGTTCCTCACGAATGTGCCATTCCTCAGCGGCCTTGACAGCTACGAGAAGCTGCAACTCGCCGACGCTCTCAGCACTGACGAGTTTAACCCCGGCGACTACATTATCCACTACGGCGAGGAGGGGGAGTGGCTGTACATCATCATGGAGGGCACCGTGGAAGTGATTGGCCGCAACGCGGATGGGGAGCCGACGAAGGTGTGTGACTTCACTCAGGGTGACCACATTGGCGAGTTGGAGTTCCTCAACAATCACCGCATCGTCGCCGACGTCGTCGCCACCTCGCACGTTATCACGGCAAAGCTAAACCGCCGCCACTTTGAGATGTGCCTGGGCCCCGTCATGGACGTTCTCAAGCGCTGCACCGACGACCCCAAGTACAATTACTACCAAAACGTTCTCAGGACGGGTGCGGCGCCGCCGTCGCACTTGGAGGATGAATAGCCACAAAGAAATAACGAAAAGCTTCATTTGCTATGCCACCGCATCGTCGCCGCCGTCGGGCCACCCAAAAATATACAACCGTGAGGCGAGGACATGCGTGTTGTGGTGACAGGCGAAGGAGGGTGGTGGGTGAGGCGTGGAAATGTTTATGTATGAAGGAGCCAAAGCTAGAGGAACAAGAAGAACAAGACTAAGGGCCAGTGAGGGGTGGGTGGGTGTAACGTTCATGTGAGGGAGCGAACCCACTGTGGGACGAAGAAAGAAGGTGTTTGTAGGAGCTGCGTAACACTGCACGCGCAAACGATGCTGTCTGTGTGGAGCGGCGTATTATAAGTAATATATATATATATACCTGCCCCTTCTTTCCTCCTCCTCCTCTTCCATTCTCCCGCTCTTCTTCCTTGCTTGCACTGTGTAAGTTTTTTCCTCCCCCCTTTTCCCACGCATCCTTCCGAAACGTATTTGTATTTGACAGGTGCGTTCAAGCGTCTCGGCGCGTCGCTTTCTCGGCCACTGTGTGTGTATGTAGACGGCATTTCACCGCATGAGTGTGTATTGGTGTGTTCGTGTATTTGTGCGTGTGTGGCGGCGGCGGAGGTGGCATTTACGCAGTGCAAACTGCCAGGGGTAAAACAGGCACAACGAAGGAGAAAACAAAACAACAACAACAACATCAACAAAATATGAAATAGCTTGGTGCCGCACCCACACGCCGGCCAGTCGAGAGGGAACCATGAGAGGCATCAGCTCCCACGCCGAGGAGAGGGAAGAAAAAGAGGCTTCAAAGGTTGCGTGATAAAACACGGCGGCAAAATAAATGAAAAAAAAAATGCTTTGCTTTTGCTTCTACCCACACACCCACGCAAGCAAACAAAAGTGGTGTATAGGTGGGAGTTTGCCATGCTCGTTTTGTTGTCGCTGCTTTTTTTTTTTCATTCCCTGCGCCGCTGCTGCCAACTTCCTTTTTTACGGTAATACGCGCATACCGTTACTGCGGACGGGGGTGACGGGCGGGCGGCATGACACTGACAGACAAAATGGGAAGAAGAAGGCGTGCATAGGAGGTGCATACGTGCTTAGTGAGTGGGGGTACGCTCTTGTGCGTTTGTGCGCCGAGGTGTGTCGTGTAGGTTCCTTTTTTCTCTCTCTTTATGTGAAATACGTGTGTGTATGGCATGCATGCACGTGTGTATGCGTTTGTGTGTTTGTGCGTGACTGCAGCACTACCGTGTTCTTGCCATGCAGGCATGCACCACCCTCCTTTTCTCCGTTTTCGGCATAGATGTGAGGTTGCGGCACGAAAACGAATTGAGAATAGGATAGAAACCATCCGGTGCGGGTGCTGCTACCATTTGCCGTTTGATTTGGTTTATATGTACATGTATTTATCTCTCTCTCTTCGCCTCGCCGTGGCTTCCCATTCACGCTGCTCATACGGCCGTACAGTGCAGGGCCACGTTGCCGCAGGGCTCTGCGTGCGGCACCCCGCCTTTCCCTCCCACCTTCCTTTTCCCCTCTCCACTCATACATAGACGAAACAGAAAAAAAAACAAAGAGAAAAAAGGTTTGGGCTTTCACGGT